AACCCGGGGCCTTGGTGTTATCAGCACCACACTCTCCCAAGTGAGCCATGGGCCGGCCCAGCCCAGAAATTTTTTAAATGTTTATGTATCGATTCATTTGAAGATAGCAATAATGAACGTATTGCATGTTATTAACATCTGATTAGTGTCATGAAATTAGTTCTTCCCTTGTGGGCCTCCTGAGATGGGCTCTAAAGTAAAGTGACAGTTTTTTCCAGATAATAAAAGGACACATGAAAGAGCAAATTTAGAAATGAAATTATTTTCCCTATTTTATAATGCTTGAGTTTAAAAGCTATGAAATCAGAAAGTATAGGAATAGCCAAGAGGCCCACGGAAGGACACGCACTATCATAAATCAGTGGAGCAGGCAAAATCACAACTACACTAAGATCACTTCAGACTCACTAGGATCACTGTAAGCAAAAAGACAGAAAATAGCAAGCGTTGGTGAGGGTGTGGGACGTCAGCACCCTTGCGCCTTGCTGGCGGGAATGTAAAATGGTGCCATCACCATGAGAAAACAGTTTGGTGGCTCATTAATAAGTTACACATGGAATTACTGTAAGACCCAGCAATTCTATTTCTGGGTACATACCTAACAGAATTGAAAACAGGTGTTCAAACAAAAACTTGAATGTTCATAGCAAATTCTTCACAGTAGCTAAGAGGTGGGAATAACCCAAATGTCCATCAACTGATTAATGGATAAACAGCATGTGGTCTATCCAAACAATGGAGTATTATTCAGCCATGAGAAGGAACGAAGCACTGATACGTGCCGTGGCCATGGATGGACCCTGAAAACATTACACTAAGTGAAAGAAGCCAGTCACAAAAGGCCACGTAGTGTATGATTCCACTTAAATGACATGTCCAGGACAGGCAAATCCACAGGGGCAGATGGTGAACTGGTTGCCAGGGGCTGGGGGAGCAGGAAGTGAAGTGACAGCTAATGAGTACAGGGCTTCCTCCGAGGTGATGGGAAAGTTCTGGAACTAGAGGGTGGTGATGGCTGCACAACGTTGTGAATGTAATTAATGCCACTGAGCTGTACACTTTATAACAGTTTGTTTTTATTTATTTTTAAAGGGCCCTGTTTATTAAAAAACGAACTGAATGTGTAAAAGCTTTCTTTACCAGTAAGTTCTTTTTTTTTTTTGTCTTCTTTCGTGACCGGCAACGGATCGCAACCCTCAGTGTCGCGCCCGTACCGGACCGGGACCGGCAACGGGATCGCAACCCTCGGTGTTGTGCTCACACCTCGCTCAGCCAGTGAGTGGGAACCGGTCTGTATGTGGGATCCGAACCCTCGGCGGGAGGGCCGCTGCGCTCACAAGCGCTGCACTCTCCCTAGTGTGCCATGGGGCCGGCCCCCTAGGTGATTTTAATATGTACTCGGGGCTTAGATTTGAGTGCTCTCTGGGGCTGTGAGGAATCCTGACTGCTGGGTCTGCCTGCTCTTGGGCTTAGAGAGCCCATCCCTGCTCTTGTCAGACTTCATTAAGCCATTCAACAAACATTTATTGAGCACCTACTATGTGCCAGGCACTGTTTTAGTAATGATCAAGACAGAGATCCATCTTGTTCCATTCCGTGCAGTAAGGAGCTGGGAGAGATGATCTGTACAGGTCCTTTGAGTCTTAAGACTCTGAGACACATGTAATTCCAGGAGGGGGGACTTTTCCTCCCATGCTGATCACGTTCCTCAGGCAGATTTCGGACCTGCCTTGGCTTTCATTGGGCCGGCCCCTACCAGTAAGTTCAATACTATCTTTCTGTTCCATCTTGGAGAACATATTCCCAACCCAAGCTTAATGAAAAACACAGTCTTAAAAGTTAAAGGGACTCCCTCTAACCTAGTGGTTAGTACAGGTTCCACTCTGAAATCAGACTGGAACTGGCTTAGGAATTTGTACCAGCCGCTAACATGTCAAAAGACAAAATTATAACACATTTAGTTTAAAGGCCTCAGTTGGCTTTATTTGTGATTCTAGAGTTGAGCAATGCTTCATGTCATAAAATAGAATAAGTGGGTCCCCCCGCAGTTTTTTTTGGCAGCTGGCCAGTGCAGGGATTGAACCCTAGACCTTGGTGCTATAACACCATGCTCTAACCAAATGAGCTAACCAGCCAGCCTAAAATATTTAAATGGAAAATTTTATGTTATGTATATTTACCAAAGTGTTTTTTTGTTGTTGTTGTTGTTGTTTTTTGTGGCTGTCCAGTACAGGGATCCAAACCCTCAACCTTGGTGTTATAACACAGCACTCTAACCAACTGAGCAACCAGCCAGCCCCGTGTATTTTACCAAAGTTTTAAAAAATTGCTATTTAAAAAAAAAAAGCTATAAAATCTGTTAAGATCTTACCAAAGTTTGCTCAATTTTGATGGATTTGTTTCCTTGGTTTACAATTTACTGCCTTTACCTAAAATATGAAGGATTACCCTGTACCTTCTGTGTCATCTGCCTGGACAGCAAGGGTGCTGGGTCTCACCAGGATAATTTTCTGTGCTTTTTGTTGACTTGTTGTGTCTTGACCATTTAAGAAAACAAAACTTCCCATACTTACGAAAGAGCTGAGGTTTTCTACAATCACCTTCCCTTCTGCTTCTGTTTAATGTTTTGTTGTTGCTTTCACAGGGGCAGCCACATACTGTTTCTCAGGAACCCATGATTCTATCTCAGGGTTCAAATCTCCTGACAGCCTTGATTTTTTCCTTCTCACACTGAGTGCTGATTATGTGACGAAGGCCCTACCTGGAAGGCCACATCTGAGAGTGATGCTCTTCAGTCTGTCAAAACCAGCCTCTTGTAAGGAAGTGCCCCAAAGACAACCCACATGATACCTGGCTTACAGGTGGGTTACGAAGGTCATTTCCTGACAGGTCCAGGAAGCTTAGCTATTTGGAAACCTTGAGAAGAAAGGAATTTGCTCTGACTTATACA